GGCGCCCGAGGCGGGGATGCGCAGGGCTTCCCGCGGCCACGGCGGCGGCGGGGGCACGAGCTAGCGCTGCGGCGCGCCGTGCCACATCGGCCGGGGCCGGGGCGGCGGCAGCCCGAGCGCCGCTCGCACCATGGCCGCGCAGGGCGAGCCGGGCTACCTGGCGGCGGCGCAGTCGGACCCCGGCTCCAACAGCGAGCGTAGCACCGACTCGCCGGTGGCCGGCTCCGAGGACGATCTGGTGGCCGCGGCGCCCCTCCTGCACAGCCCCGAGTGGAGCGAGGAGCGCTTCCGCGTGGACAGGAAGAAACTCGAGGCCATGCTCCAAGGTAGGCATGCCCCTGCTCCCGATCCTCTCCCAAGTCCGCCACGGGATCGTCACCCAGTCCACTCACGGGACACTCCACCCACCCCCTCGCTCCCAACTTTGTCAGCTCGCCCGGATCGGAGGAGCTGGAGGCCCGAGTTTGTGCTGCCGCCCCGAAGTTGCCATTAGGACCGCGGCGGTGCCAACTGCAGCTGGGACATCTGAGCCGTGGCATCCTCACACAGCGGGACCGCCCAGTGTGCGGGACTCTGCCCCGCTTCCCGCAGCTGGAGTCCCGGCCACCCCTGCCGCGTCTTTTCCCTCCCCTCGTCAGTATCCGCTTCCTCCAGCTAGGGCCTGCTCCGGTCGCCTGGAAAAGCGCTGCAGATGTCAAGGCTTCAGCTGGGAGCCCCCGCCCCCACGCCGGAGTCTTGGGCTGGAGCAAGTCACCCAGGCGTGGGGCTCAGTGTCCTGGCAGTGTGAGGATAGCATGTGTCAGGGCAGCCGGGCTCCTAAAAGACATCTTGAGTTACATTCTGTTCATAAACTCCCTTGCAGCTGTGGGAGTCTGACTTGACTTTCATAATTTGGGTTTATTTTTTTATTTTTTAAAACACTTTATAGAGTTTCTGGGACTTTCCCAGGAAGAAAAACTTTTCTCCACACTGGATCGGAAGCAAATTCTGATTTATTGCGTTAGGATTAGAGCGAGTGGTAACAAGTCCAAGGTCATTCTGACCTTTAAAAAGGTTCATTAGCAGCCTACCTGTGTGGCTTACCTCCCACATCCCAAGGCAGAGATGAGGGAGCTGGAATTAGTATTATTTTTAAGGCTTGAGAGGAGATCTGGCCCCCAGCTCCCAGGAAGGGATAGTGAGGATTCAGTAGCTCTCATCCATCATCTCGGAAAGCTTGGAGGTCTGTAGCCTCGCTTTTTATGGCTGTCTGCGTGACTTATTTTGACTTTATCTGTCGATGTATCGCAGTATGGGAGCGAGTTATTCCTCTCTGGAAATGCAGTGGCTTTTCAGAACAATTAAGAGGGTTATTTTAAGAGAGAACAACATGTTTTCCTAAACAATAACTTGGTGGAAGTAAGAATCAGGATTGCTTGGCAGGCGTTTCTGGAAGGGCTGAGAACCTCTCTCCTTTGTTGCTTATTTGTATTGATAAACACCCCAAATGTCATGTCTTGGGCTCTTTTTTTTTTCTCTTTTCCCTGAAATTATGTAACTTGGTAGGAAAGTAATGGATCTGAAAATTGAAGCCGGGTTTATATTTCAGGAATTTTCATTTGTGACGCTCTCTTATTAGTTCCAGGAGTCTGCCTAGTTTGGGGGGTTACAAACAAAATGTTACAATTATGTTGCAGAAGCATTGGAAGATTGTAGCGAACCTTAAGATCCCAGGCCGATCCATTTCAGCCACTTGCCAACTTCCCCGTGTTGGAAACAGAACTGGCGATTACTCCGAAGAACGTGGTGGTACCCTCCTTAATGGATACCCTGCACAGATACTGCGGTGGGTGCCAGTTTCTGGGCAGTTCACTTGTAAAACTCTGAGTTCTCCTAGGGGATTTCTTTTTCAGTCAATTTTCATTTTGGATTCAATGAAACACGGGTAGAACATTCAGAAAACATGAACGTGAAATAGAGGGTTGTTAACCCACTTTTAGGCCCGCCATTCTAACATCTGAAGGCCTGAATCACTTTTCAGTGGTTAAATGTTTAGCAGCGAGCCTAAATGGATCTATGCATGATGAGTTAACCATTTAGTGGTTGGAAAGTTCTTTGAGTCATTTTCCAGAGTTACTGAACAAATACATTATCTTGTTGGTAAAGTAAGCCCTTGAAGTCATAGAGAATAGAACCCAGCGAGGGCACAGTGCACTGGGGCAACTTAGTATTCTTACCCACATAAACTCCACAGAATTATCGCATTTGTGAACCAAGGGTGATCTTGTGTTTATTTGTTTTATGCTATAAGTGGGTATGAGCCCTAGAACTCAGACTTGCATTCAAATCACTGTGGGACCTTGGGCAAGCTCCCAGGTTTCTCTCTGCCCTCAGTTTCTTCTCCTGTAAAATAGAGGTTGATTTTTTTTTTTAAAAGAACCTCTGTAGTTTTTTTTTTTTTTTCTTGTAGGAAGGGAACTATTTGATGCCCAAGGAACAAGATTTGCTGTAGTGTTGGTAAATACCAAGAGCTTCACAATGCAGTGTTACCTCCTGGGTCCAGATAATTTCAAGTACATACCAAAGTTTGTAACGCCCACGATATATTTGACAGATAGTTGGGGAACACAAATCGTTTGCAGTTCAGAGTTGCAAAAGCAAAAAAAAGGATAAAAACTGATATATGGAAAAAAATATTAGAAATATTAGATTCTTTTAGGTGGAAACTTTTCCCATGGATAGGGTCAAGGAAGGAGAAGTTACATTTGTTTGTATTTCTGGTTACTGTGAATTTTCGATTTACATTTTTTTTCTTTTCACAATAGCCTTTAAAAGTATATGGGATTTTCCATTTTAAACCAGGGTAAGTAAGGTTGTTGGCCTTCAAGTCTTCAGAGTGTAAATTGTCGATTATAATGCTTGGAATTTGTTTTTAGAGAGACTGTCCTGGGGGCAAGTTAATCTTTAATAGGTCGCATTTTTATTAGTGGAGAGAGTCTTCTATGTAATGGACAAAAAATTCACTGAGGTTAAAATGAGCAGTAGGGTGGTAGTCAAAGAAATAAAATACCATTCTTGCGTGATCACGGAGTCTAATTGATATACATAAAAACCACTAGACCAAAATATAGGGAAAATTACTAGTTTTTTTTTCCTTCCTTTAAAAAAAAAGAACACAGCTACTTTGAAATTACCATAAAGAATGTCTGGCATGTTTGTTGATATTTTAATGATAATTATCGATCTTGTTGGTCAGTGACTTTTTTTTTTTTTTGGCATGGGAATTTATTTTTGAGTTTAGATATTTCATGGGTCTGCTCAGCCTTGGGATGCATGCCATGTCCAGCATTTTTTTAGTGGTAAGGCATCATCATGTTCTATTTCTTTCATAACTAGCCCTCAGCAGTTTGATAGGCTTCGCTAAGGAGTCACGGTGTTGAGTCACGCCAATCAGTTAAAATGAATTACACTCTGTGAAAAGGAGGGGTTGCTATGAAAGAGATGGGGAGTGGTCCAGAGTGTCTAGGATACAGTGGTGGTGCTTGCCAGGGAACAGCATCAAAGATGAGATCCCTGGATGAGTCTACACAGAACGAGAATTCCTCATAGACAGCATAGAAGCATAAACATTTTCAAGGTTGAGTCCTAAGAGAAGTAAAGGATTTTGTGTGTGTGTGTGTGTGTGTGTGTGTGTGTTACAAAGGAGACTGACATCCAATGAGCTTTACCTTTTGGATAGGGAAGACTTCAGAAACCATGTAGGGTTTTTACAGTGCCGGGACAATTTGGGATCCTGTTTTACCTGAGCAGGAGAACTGGCTACCAGTGCAGGATAGCTCTGCGAGCAGCAAATGTGCCATGGCTCTAACTCAGCAAACATTACCATATGGTTTTGTGACTGGTCACCCTTTCTTAGATATTGTTGTGAAGATGGAAGAAATATGAAGCAAAAATATTAGAAGATGTGGAAGTTCTGGAAGTGAGGGAAAGCTTACATGAGTAGAGCTTGCTAGCTGGTGCTTCATCAAGGCTAAACAAATACCAAGAAACCAGATAGCTTTATGAAGGACAGTGGGTACATACACCGGGCTTTGGGCAGGATCAAGATTTGTATGTTGGCATTATGCTACCCGATGCTATCTTTTCTAAAAAGGAGTATTAGTAGCAGGTTTGGAACCTTGAAGCAGTTGTAATAGTTAGGAGGGAAAAAAAAGTGCATATAAATATCGCAGTGGCGGCCAGAGAGATTGCCCAGTGGTTAAGAGCACTTGCTGCTTTTATAGAGGAGCTCAGTTCTGTACCCACCGCCTGCATCTGGCAGCTCCCAAATTGCCTGTAACTTCAGCTCCAAGGAACCAGAATCCTTCTGGTCTTTGTGGATAAGATGACCACAGTAGCATATACTGACATAGACATACACATAAATTAAAAAAAATACATATCTTAGTGTTGGCTGCATAGGAAATGCTGAAATCATTCAGTTACAGCAACGGTATTCATTCTTAAGCCAGAATGCATAACATATGTATTCATGTATTAAGAATGAAAGTCCAGTTTACTAAAGGATAAATATCATGATCCCACACAGCTGTTTGATGATTATTGTCAGCTCCCTGGTTGCTTAGCCCTCAGTAGGTGGCGTGTATGGCTGAGTAGACCTCTCATAGATGGCACTGGGGACGCAGAGATCTTTCGAGCCTCTTGAGGTGTGTGATCCTTCTTGTTTTGTGTAGTTTCCATTCTGTGAAAGGCTCCGCATGCACCTGGTACTTTCTAAAGGGTTGTTAGCACTCCTTCTGTTAGAAACTGTTCTTCAGCCTTCCCCATCAGCATGTGAGAAGGAAGGACTTTTTTTTTTTTTTTTTTTTTTTTTTTTTTTTTTTTTAAAAAAAATGACTGTGCCGGGGGATGTTTTTGCTCAGCAAAAAGACGCCATTTACTCATCTATGCAGAAGGGGAAGGGGTGGTCTCATCTCAGGGTGCCGGAGGGAGGCAGAGACGGAGGAGGGAGAGAGGAAGTTCAGAGGTTAAGAGTTGCCTTTGTGGGGCAGCTCACAACCCTTTATAACTCCAGTTCTAGGGGTTCTGATACTCTCTCTGGCCTCCACAGTCATATACTTCTGCGGACCCATGAATAGAATTAAAACAAATCTTTTAAAAATTATCTCATTGTAGGGATATGTAAGCACAGACTGAGTTCTGTGTAGAATGCTGTCCCAGGGCGGGGCACATGGCACTTGGAGATGGCAGTGTAGTGACAGCAGCAGTGACATCTCTGTCCCTTGTGATTGAGAAAGTTCAAAACACACTCCGCAGAGATGGCTCAGCAGTTAAGAGTGCTTGCTGC